TAGACTGCACGTGAACGGGAGCTGACTGCCTTTGTAAAACAACATTGAGTCTGGAATTAATTCTAGGGATGGTATCTATGCATTATTTAACAGATATTTCTCGAGAGGAATATTACAGCACCTTTTAATATGTTATACTCTCTCCCGAGGTTCACTCGTCTGAATCATTCTTAGTATTTACAGGATAACTCTAGTGGCTGCTGAAACAAACATTTGGCCATATATATATATATATATATATATTAAAATATTATAATATATATATTTTTATATATATATATATATATATATATATATATATATATAATATATATATATATATATTCTTAGGACAATTCTAGTGGCTGATGGGACAAACTCTTTCCCATTTACATACTCATACCCACTCATTCTTTTCTTCTTTCTCATTTTCTCATACACTCCCTTGTTTGTTGTTATACCAAGTTCCTGCCTAGTATTCAAAGTACATCATGCACAGCTGTGGAATAACTTCCATGTATATCTGGTTCACCATTCACATTAGGAGAGTCTTGACTTTAAATTCAGGGAAGGGTTTTGTCACCCTGAAATAATGGCTTATCAAATAAAAACATGGATTGAATTAAGTAAGATATTTTGACTACGACTGGAAGTTTGTTTCACGAATTGCATTTTGTGCTAGGAATAAAATTTGTTTCTTTTATAAGAATCTTACCCATATAGGACACAATGTTTCACTAGGGTATAATAATATATTAGTCCAAGACCTACTTCTTAAATTTATGACAAATTTTATGTTAAGAACAAATACTTGTTAACTAACAAGCAGGAGTGTTTTGAGATAAGATTGAAGATTTTTGACAGTGGAAGGATAACCGTCTTTTGGTTACATGTATCTTATTACCAACAGGAGCTGAAGCTTGACATCAATTTATATTTTTTTAATTATTCGTAATTTTTTGTCTCTATTTTTTAATAATAAAACTTGATTAGGGAGAGATGAGAAATGCACTCATTCACACAACATCTCAGCAATATTTGTTTCCCTGTTAAGATATAAGACCATCGGGACAGCAAAATGACTTAGGAATAACTCTGTACTCCCATGATTGTCAAATAACACATTTACTACCATAGCATCCTAGTCCTCTAACTTATCAAAGTCAAAATACTGATAAATGGGCCAAACTGGCTATTGGATCTAGCATCTTGTGACTACTGGGGAGCGTACATAAAAGCGAACTGAACAACGGGGCTGAGGGTGGGATGGAACCTACATGAGTCAACGATACTCGGCTATGTACAGTGAAACTTTGTACAGGATACTGAACATTATGCTCTACGAAAAGATTCATTAACCGCCTACACTGTTTTGTCGTCTTATGAGCAAAAGGGGACATAAACAGAAGCTGTATATTCTCGTAGCCGTCAGCTTCTCGACATCCAGCTATCTTTTCATTTAATAATGATTTCAAAGCTAAGAACTTTCCTGTTAGTATAATGAAGCAGGCATTAAATTTCAAGAATTCCCCGCTAGGATTAAGAGGCGAAGCTCACGTCTAAAATATGTTCTGAGGATTGCTAATAGTTTTCTGAGTACTTACGTTCACCTAGTGTGCGTCTGAGAACTTTCGTACGCATGTGCTTCTGAGTACTTGTGTACATCTCATGTGCATCTGAATGCTTGCATACATATCATGTATCAATGATTACTTGCTTAAATCTCTTATGTGTCTGAGTACTTGCGCAAGTCTCATAGGCGCTTAAATGATTCCGTACATATCATATACATCTGAGTACCTCGGTAGATCTCATGTGCATCCCTCTAATATACATATGAATTCTTGCGTACACCGCATGCGTGCTTGAGTGATTTCATACATCCAAAGGGCATATTAGTACTTGCGTACTTGCGTACACCTCATGCACGTCTGAGATCTTGCATACATCCGATGTGCAACAGAGTGTTTGCGAAAACCTGAAATGCATCTGAGTACTTTCGTACATCTCATGTGTGTCCCAGCAAACGTGTACGTCTTATGAGCGTCTGAGCACTTGCGTACAAATCATGTCCATCTGAGTACTTGCATACACCTCATGTGCGTTTAGGTCCTTACGTACACTTCATGTGTGTCCGAGCACTTGCGTACATCTCATTTGCGTCTGAATGCAAGTGTACATCAATAAATTCATACTCACTTTAGATTTACTTTGAGCAAAAGTGTACCGATGTGTTTTACCGGAGATCCCGTGAAATAGTGCACTCAAAAATCATCTTAGGCCACCAGTAAGAAATATATCTTAAAATATTCTCAATGCTAGATGAGCCAGTAAGAGCGTCTGCCCACATAGGTAAGTTTGGTCACCTTGTAAATTTGAGTTTTTTTTTTTTTTTTTTTTTAGGAATAAAATCGATTTTATTTCGTACTGCATAAGAATGAAAGGAAAAGAACATCTGCCATTTTTGGGGGGATCAATTAGGCTACCCAGTCGGAAGAGGACAATGTGATATACCAGTGATTTTATACAAAGTGGGAGATATGTTGTAGCAGCTAGCACCTGCTGCACTAGGTGCTAGGTGTAGGTACCTAGCACATTTGTTACTATTTTTTTGTTATTTGCGTTTGTTGATATTTGTGTTTGTTGTTGCTTGTATTTGTTGTTTTTTGTGGAAGTTGTTATTTGTGTTTGTTGTCATTTGCGTTTGCTTTTTATTATTTTTTGTTGTTTTTTGTTTGTTGTTATTTGAGTTTTGTTGTTATTTGTGTCTGTTGTTATTTGTGGTTGTTGGTGGTAGTGTCGGAAGGAAGGTATTGTTGGTGGTGATGACGATGGTGATGTATTGTTGGTGGTGATGATGATGGTGATGTATTGTTGCTGGTGATGACGATGGTGCTGTATTGTTGCTAGTGATGATGATGCTGGTGCATTGCTGCTGGTGATGACGATGGTGCTGTATTGTTGCTGGTGCTGATGATGCTGGTGCATTGTTCTGTGAGACATGGTGCTGTATTGTTGCTGGTGCGATGATGCTGGTGCATTGTTGCTGGTGATGACGATGGTGCTGTATTGTTGCTGGTGCTGATGATGCTGGTGCATTGTTGCTGGTGATGACGATGGTGCTGTATTGTTGCTGGTGATGACGATGGTGCTGTATTGTTGCTGGTGCTGATGATGCTGGTGCATTGTTGCTGGTGATGGATGGTGCTGATTGTATGCTGTGCTGATGATGCTGGTGCTTGTTGCGTGATGGACGATGGTGCTGTATTGTTGCTGGTGATGACGATGGTGCTGTATTGTTGCTGGTGATGACATGGCGTATTGTGCTGGTGATGACGAGTGCTGTATTGTTGCAGTGACGACGATGGTGCTGTATTGTTGCTGGTGCTGATGATGCTGGTGCATTGTTGCTGGTGATGACGATGGTGCTGTATTGTTGCTGGTGATGACGATGGTGCTGTATTGTTGCTAGTGATGATGATGCTGGTGCATTGCTGCTGGTAATGACGATGGTGCTGTATTGTTGCTAGTGATGATGATGCTGGTGCATTGCTGCTGGTGATGATGATGGTGCTGTATTGTTGCTGGTGATGATGATGCTGGTGCATTGTTGCTGGTGATGACGATGGTGCTGTATTGTTGCTGGTGATGACGATGGTGCTGTATTGTTGCTGGTGATGACGATGCTGGTGCATTGTTGCTGGTGATGACGATGGTGCTGTATTGTTGCTGATGATGACGATGGTGCTGTAATGTAGCTGGTAGCGATGTGCTGATTGTATGCTGGTGATGAGATGCTGGGCAGTGTTGCTGGTGATGAGGATGGGTGTATTGTTGCTGTGTATGACGATGGTGCATGTTGTTGTGCTAGTGATGACGATGGTGCTGTATTGTTGCTGGTGATGACGATGGTGGTGTATTGTTGCTGGTGATGACGACGGTGATGTACTGCTGCTGGGGATGATGATGATGGTGCATTGTTGCTGGTGATGACGATGGTGGTACATTGTTGGTGTTCATGACGATGGTGATGCATTGTTGCTGGTGATGACGATGGTGGTGTATTGTTGCTGGTGATGACGATGGTGGTGTGTTGTTGGTGGTGATGACGATAGTGATGTATTGTTGCTGGTGATGACGATGTTGGTGTATTGTTGCTGGTAAGGACGATGGTGGTGTATTGTTGGATGGTGATGACGATGGTGTGTATTGTTGCTGGTGATGAAGATGGTGTTGGAGGGGGTGGTGCTGTATTGTTGTGGTTTATGACATGTGATGTATTTTGGTTGGGATGAAATTGGTTTGGGTTTATTGTTGCTGGTAAGGGCGATGGTTGGGTTTTGTTGATGGTGATGACGATGGTGGTGTATTGTTGCTGGTGATGGCGATGGTGCTGTATTGTTCGTGGTGATGACGATGGTGATGTATTATTGGTGATGATAACTAAATGGTGGTTTATTGTTGCTGGTGATGACGATGTTGGTGTATTGTTGATGGTTGATGACGATGGTGGTGTATTGTTGCTGGTGATGGCGAGGGTGATGAATTTTTTTGGTGGTGAGGATGATGTTGGTGTACTGTTGGTGGTGATGACGATGTTGGTGGTGATGATGGTGGTGTATTGTTGGTGGTGATGACGATGGTGGTTTATTTTTGCTGGTGATGACGATGTTGGTGTATTGTTGGTGGTGATGATGGTATTGTTGCTGGTGATGATGATGATGTTGCTGTGTTGTTGCTGGTGATGACGATGTTGTTGTATTGTTGCTGGCGATGATGATGTTGGTGTATTGTTGCTGGTGATGACGATGTTGGTGTATTGTTGCTGGTGATGACGATGTTGGTGCATTGTTGCTGGTGATGACGATGTTGGTGTATTGTTGCTGGTGATGACGATGTTGGTGCATTGTTGCTGGTGATGACGATGTTGGTGTATTGTTGCAGGTGATGACGATGATGGTGTATTGCTGCTGGTGATGACTATGGTGGAGTATTGTTGTTGGTGATGACGATGTTCGTGTATTGTTGGTGATGATTATGTTGCTCTAATGTTGGTGGTGAGGACGTTGTTAGTGTATTGTTGGTGGTGATGACGATGTTGGTGTATTGTTGGTGGTGATGACGATGTTGCTGTATTGCTGCTGGTGAGAACGATGGTGGTATATTGTTTGTGGTGATGAAAGTACAGATGGTGGTGGTTGTGATGGTGGTGGAGATAGTGGTGTACTTGTTGCAGGTGATGACAATTTTGTTGTTACTGGTGATGGTAGAGGTGAAGGTGGTGCTCGTGGTAATGGTGAGTCACTGCACCTGGCTAATTTAAGCTCGTACAGAGACAAATACATGTACTGAAACCATGAATATTAAATTTATTTTCTTCAACACATATTGTTGAATAAAAAACCCCCAGAAAACATTTCACCAAGAGTGTGTTTTTAAATATATGCTCGGAATATTAGGTTGAACGGTATTCTGTCTCATTATTAGTGTAAGGAGGATCGAGCCTCTACAACACTTTGTGCCGAGAAACACACACAAGAATAGCATAAAAATTAATTATTTAAAAAAATATAACCGAACGATATGTGTGCCAGAGACACGAAGATGCAGGATTTAAAAGAGGAAAATGTGCATTAATAGAAAGATATGTAAATCTCCTTAACTATCCCTCAGATCAGGATAAAATTTGTTATTCAAGGTTTCTTTGCACAAGTGCACCATGAGATAATAGCATCAAAATCTTTAATTTCTTGGGAAGTGGCAGTTGTAATAAGATGCGAACTGGCGAGCGAATGGAAAGACACACAAAACATAGTAAGGCATTAGAATAAGGAAGTTTCACTCACTGGGAACTTCATCAGGCTGTCAAAATCAACTTGATAAAAACTCTCATTTAGCGAATATCATTATAATAAAAACTTGCGATGTTCTGTTTACTTTTTCATTTCCATGGGAACTATTAAATGGGTCAGGTGAGTTTTGTGGAGGCAGTCCTGTTATACCAGTGTTCATATACTATAACTCTTCCTAGTATATCCTACCCTTATATATTAGTGAGTCACATCAAGCACAGCCATAAGCTGTTAAGAACAAGAAGAGCCAAAGGCAAACTCCAGTCACGTTTGGACTTTCAGCAAATTCATCCCAGTTTATTGGTCTAATATTTCTGCATAAAATTATTTCAAGCAAATTATAGTAAATGGTAAAGTGGTGTTAATACATTTGTGTTGTTGTTAGTGCTTTTGTGCTTTTGCCAATAATCCTCTTCGGAAATTAGTGTTTGTTGCTCTGATAAAAAAAAAATTTACATAGCTGTTTGCCCTGGTGAAGTTATCAGAGTTGTCGTGCAGTTATTAACGCTGAGTATAAAGGTTCTTTTTTTTGTTATGCTGGTGTTAATAATGTGGTGCAAGTCTTATGTCTATGCATATGTTAGTGTCAATATACAGGTTTTAGCGATCTTTGACTGGTTATGGTGTTCTTTTGCAAAAATTGCTCTTTGGCAGTTGTTGAAATGTTTATTGGTCAGACGTTTGTTTTGTGTGGATGTGTGTATTGTGCAGGTGTTAGGTGCTCTTGGGGAGGTGATGCTTTTATGCAGGTGTTGGTATTTTGCAGGTTATTGTTATTGTGATTAAGTTATTGTTTTAATGGAGCTGTAAGGTTCCTGGGCAGATGTTGATGTTCTAGCGCAGGTGTTATTATGCGGGTGTTAGCGTTGTTAGGCCAGTGTTACTGAGTGCTTTGTTTCTTATACCTATTTGCATCCACTTTATAAATTCTTTTGTAAGCCACCGACTGTCAGTAGATGAACAATATTCTCTGTTATGTCCACGCGGGTTGGCCTCCCTTTTGAGTAGGCCTCCATCACGAGGCCGCCTCCCAGGCCAGCGGCACCACTGCCCACCACCAAGCTCAGATACCTGCTACTCTATTTACTTCACAAGTACGATTTCATTTTTTTTATCCTGATCACAGGTATTCCATTTAGATTATTTCTGGGGAAAATAATTTTTACCATTCAAAGTGAGATTTTTGCAGAAAGATTAAAATTTACACCCATTCATGTACGGAATGTCTTACAACGCACGTCAACGGCTATATAAACAATGATAAAGCTTATTGAAAACCTCTCTCCAAAAACTAATGACATCTGATTCCCGATCAGACAGTGTTACTGCTAAGGAAAGACGAAGCCTAATGCTGTATACTAAGTATACTGCATCGCTTTGAAAGTATACTGCTATTTAAAGTATACTGATATATAAAGTATACTGATATATAAAAACTTTCATAGGGATAGACACATTTTCTGTCTGGAATTATCTGACTTATCTGCTATAACCTCACTTATTACCACATTTTCTGGGTATTTATAATGTAAAACTAAATTTCTACATCAATTCACAGACAAGTTCACATACAAACTCTAGTTTAAGTGGTCATTCCCACAGAATAAGTCATGTACAATCACATTCGTGGAAAAATACAGTAATCCTATTCCCCTTAATGATATAATCTACAGATCTGTCTACACTGTGGTCTATACATTACCATCTAGGTAATATACCTCTGATTTCCTAGCCAAGCTCTTGATATGGTGAGACATAATACGCGTTCTTACAAGGAATTTCACCTAAACTTAATTGATAATTTTTTCTTGAAAATATATAACGAATTTTATGGACCATTGTCTATGTAAAGAAAACATCTACTGTTTATTACATGTGACATTGTTTTTTAATATGCCCACCAATAGCAAAATATATTAATGGGAAATTTAATGCCATGTATCCCCTTCGATAATCTACTGAGTGAAAAACTATTATATTTTTATTGAAGGCAATATGTAATCTGATTTCATTAATGTCTTATGCGTTTTATCAAAATTTGTTAAACCCTAATCAGAAAGTAGTATTTCCTAACACAGTTTATATCTCAACGTTACTTTCTCATTATATTTTGCCTTATCCCTACGAGATGATGATATGTGGCGCGGAGAGGATGACAACAATGGTGGAGATGACGGTGTAAGTAGTGAAGGTAATGAGGCAGAAACGATCCACCACCATAGCTGCGAACTTCCAGTCTACCACTATTTCGTTCACTTCGTCCTCGCTCCTCATCTGCCCCGTGATGTACCTCAACTCACGGAGGATACTCTGCAGTTCCCGTGTGTTATTGAAGCAAAAGGATGAGTGAGGGGTCATGATGGGACCTCCTTCCTCGTAGGACCTGCCCACGAGGCGAGGGTATCCTCCGTTATGCGATGGGGTTCCCGTACCCATCGCTTGGATCTGACGGATGTCATCGTCGATGTCCAACACGTTGGCCAGGAGGGACTTAGACGAGCGTTCTTTGAGTTCCAGCTCCCGCATTTTGTTGGTCATCATGATAGTCTTGCGGGTGATCTTCTTGCCTGGGCGGTTCATGCGGAGGATCCAAGGCAGCCACTGCAATAGTACACACCGAATCTGCCGGAGAAGATCAAGAAGGCTGTTATTACAGTAACAACCATTTAAGAAATCTTACCTTAAGCAGTTGCTCACATATTTTTGCATATTTATAACTATTACAAGTTTACAATCAAATGCAAATTTGTTTTCAATATTTGCATTTGTTTTTAATATATAAGCAATGAAACACTTAAAAAATTACTAAGGTATAAATGTGAAGTTTAGTTATAAGTGAAGTACACACATATGGCAGGAAGAGAATGCTAAATCTATTCATGAATTACAGGTAATTCGTCTTCCTTATAGTTGAAGAAAAATGTACTATTATATCTTAGTTGTATTTAGAGTTATCTTTATTCATGCACTTTGTATTGAGGGAAATTATAAAAAAACACAAATGAAATTGCTACGAACACAGCGATAATACACCGATACACGTTATCAGTGAAACATGTTTATGATATTATTAAATTTTCTTCGAAAAGAAACGTATACGGGTGCATCTGTACAGACCGTCCTCTTGATTATAAACATTATTACACTGTTGTAATGTCAGACAACTGGAAGACTGATGAACGAACCTTAAACAGTCAAATTCTGATTGATTCAAGTAGATGGCTCTTACTAGTTATACGTCTGTTGTTGGAGCCTCTGAACTTTTCATCAGCTTTACTCTTATATATGGCGTATAGTGTAATGGGTAAATTTTTAATGGTACTTAACGTAACTGAGAAATTTGTTGTAAATAATATGCGAGGAAAATTTATGTACATATCATTCACTCCATCATTGTCTTACCAGAGGTGTGACTACACTACAGTTATAAAACTGCAACATTTTCAACTCCTTCAGAGTGCAGACACTATACTTCCGTCTTTCATGACTCAAGTAAGGCTTGCCGGTTTCCCTGAATCCCTTCATAAATGTTACCTTCCTCACACCAACAGAACGTAGTCATAAAAACCACTTGTCTCCACTCACTCGTATCTAATACACTCACGCATGCTTGCTGGATATCCAAGACCCTTGCACACAAAACCTCCTTTACCCCCTCCCTCCGACCATTCCTAGGCTGATCTCCTACCCCGCCTTTCACTACAGATTTATACGCTCACCAAATAATTCTATTTCGTTCCATCCTCTTTCTCTCTGTCACACACACACAACACACACACACACACACATACACACACACACACACACACACACACACATACACACACACACACACAACACACACATACACACACGCACGCAATATATATATATGTACATATATATATATATATATATATATATATATATATATATATATTATATATTTGTGTGTGTGTGTGTGTGTGTTGTGTGTGTGTGTGTGTGTGTGTGTGTGTGTGTGTGTGTGTGTGTGTGTGTGGTGTGTGTGTGTGTGTTGTGTGTGTGTAGAACAACTACTGTGAAAAAAAATAGTGAAATTCAAAACACTTTCGTGATTTCTCACATTATCAAAGAACTGTAAAAATAAAAGATCAACAGGAAGGTATATAAAAATAAGACTACACCTCGCTGTTCCCTTACAACTATTTTATGATGATGTGTAGGTAGGTAATCAATAATCTGTTAAACACGGCTTATATTTTACAGCTTTAAGATTTTAATTTTGTCTAATGCATATTAAATTCTTCGCAAATATTACTAATTATGATGAATCCAATTTGTAAAAGTCTAAAGCAAAATTCATACTATTTTCAAAACTATTTTTTAAGAAACTTGATTCTACTATATTTCTTTCGACCAGGGACGTGCTAGATATGATTTTCTGAGCCTTTTGAAAATCAATTGGATGATTAAAATCTCTCTCATGAATAAACTGAGCATTAGAATCTTGTCCATTTCTAATGCTATATTTACGTTGCTTTAATCTTAGTTCAAGACATTTCCCAGTTTGACTGTAATAAACTTTATCACATATTTTACAAGGAATATTGTAAACACACCCATCAGTATTTTTGAGGGAATTTTTAATCATTTTTTTTACTGCATCAAATGTTTTAAATACAACTTTGATATTAAAATTCTTAAGTAGAGAAGATATATTCAGCATGATAACGGAGAATCAACATATTTTTAGTTGAATATGGCTGACTGGCCGTTTTTGAATTGTAAAAAGTATTTCTACATGTTTTAAAAGATTTATCAATTAAGTTTTTTTGGGTATTTTGGATTATTAGCTATTTCATAAATTTTCAAGATTTCTTCATCTATGAACTCTGGGCTGCAAATATGCAAAGCTCTCTAAAACATTGATGAGAATACAGAAAGTTTAACTCTATCTTGATGTGAAGAACAATAGTGCACATAGGAACAGTTATTTGTTGGTTTCCTGTAAATTTAAAATTTAAAACCATGGTTCCCTTTAATAATTAAAACATCTAGAAAAGACAAAGAGTTATTTTGTTCAAACTCAACAGTAAAATTTATGGAATGAGCTAAACTACTTAACTTAACAAAGAAATGGTTTATATCTATATTCTAGGGCATAAGACAAAATATCATCACATATCTGTACCACTTAGCTGTACTGGGACGGATTTTGTTAAGTAATCTTGTTTCAAAATATATTCGACGTGAGAGAGGATTCCATGTGAAAGAGTATTTCCCATCGCCATGCCAAACTTGTGAGTGTAAAGCTCGTGATTAAACACAAATTTTTCATCAAAAATACAAAGTTAAACCGTAATTAACAAGTTCTTCAGATAGGAAATTTAATAATTCATCAACTGGAACTTTTGCAAACAAGGAAGTAACATCAAAACTAACCATACTGAAATCATATAAATCACTCATGGTGCTTAATTTATCCATAAGTATATACTGCTTTTAACATTAAAGTTGGAAATTTTTCCAACAATTGGGCTCAACATACCTACTGGCCATTTAGATAATTTATAGGGGACCGAACCTATTGAGCTAATAATAAGTCTGGATTACCTGGCTTGTGTGTTTTTATTATTCCATACATATACGGTAAAGATGGAATGATGGTCATGATTTTTTAATTAATTCATCTTTGCCTTTTAGTAATAGCTTTACTGTTTTGTTAAAATTACTGTTAACAGACTCTAAGTGATTTTTTTCTAACTTTAGAATAAGTATCTGCAACATCTAAAAGATTATTAATTTTATCTTGGTAATCAGTTTCTTTCAAAACTGCATCTATTTTATCTGTTTTAGTAATATACATTTAAAAATCTTGTTACAGTAAAAAAGCTTTTGATAAAAAATCCCCGCAAAAATGTTGATGGGTGTGTTAACAAGATTTCTTGAAAAATATGTGATAAAGTTTATTACAGTAAAAATGGAAAAGTCTTGAACTACGATTAAAACAACATAAATATTGCATTTGAAGCTGACAAGATTCTAATGTTCTGTTTATTCAAGTGAAAAAGATTTTAACTATCCAATTGATTTTCAAAAGACTGAGAAAGTTACATCAAGCAGGTCCCGGGTCGAGAGAAATATAATAGACTCAAATTTCTTAAAAAAAAAAATAGTTTTTAAAATAATATGAATATTGCTTTATACATGAGAAGACTCATGTATAATTAATAAAATTTGGGGATAATTTAATATACATTAGACAAGTTAAAATCTTAAAGCTTGGGTAGAAAATAAACTTGTCTTCCTACCTACATCAGATCTTTGACTACCTTGGCTACGTCAGATCCCTTACTACCTACCTACATTATCATAAAAAGGTCAGGTGTTGTAAGTAACCTCGAGGTGCAGTCTCATCCTTATATGCTTTCCTGTTGATCTTTTACTTTTATAGTTCCTTGATAATGTGAGAAATCACGAATGCGCTTAAAATTATACTATATATATTATATATATATATATATATATATATATATATATATATATATATATATATATTGTGTGTGTGTGTGTGTGTGTGTGTGTGTGTGTGTGTGTGTGTGTGTGTGTGTGTGTGTGTGTGTGGTTGTGTGTGTTGTTTATGTGTGTGTGTGTATGTGTGTGTTGTAGTGTGTGTGTGTGTGTGTGGATGTGTGTGTGTGTGTGTGTGTGTCTGTGTGTCTGTGTGTGTGTGTGTGTGTGTGTGTGTGTGTGTGTGTGTGCATTGCTTAAAAACACAAATATGCTACAATAGAGGAAAGATAGACTTAGCCAAGAGATCACTGAATTAGAGCAAAAACTTAGGATGTCTTATTTCACAGAAGTACAAAGGGAACAGAGGGCCACACAGGATATTGAAAGAAACCCAAAATATTTCTATTCCTATGCAAAATCCAAGATAAGAACTACCTGTTGAATTGGACCACTACTGAGAGGAGACTCGTATACTGACGATGAACAGGAAATGAGTGAAATCCTAAAAGCACAGTATGAGTCGGTGTTCAACAACCCACTAAATGACAGAAATGTAGAAAATGCGGAAATATTTTTTCACTCCAGAAGAAGGCCGTGCAGACCAACTAACTGACACTAGTACAAATCCCTTAGTTTTCGAAGAAGAAATGGAAAACATGTCCATTTACTCAGCACCTGGACTTTTGATAAAGAATTCCCCCCAAAATGCTTATGGATGTGTCTATAAGATTCCTTGTAAAATTTGCAATAAAGTATATTACAGTCAAACTGGTAAAAGTCTCGAACTAAGATTAAAACAACATAAATATAGCATTAGAACTGGACAAGATTCCAATGCTCTATTTATTCATGTGAGATATTTTAACCATCCAATTGATTTTCAAAAAGCTGAGAAAGCTATATCAAGCAAGTCCATGGTCGACAGGAATATAATTGAATCTTGCTTCATAAAAAGCAATTTTGACAATAATATGAATATTTCCTTCGGTTTATATACATTAGATTCATTTATAATTAATAGAATTTAGGAAGAATTTAATAATACATTGAAAAATAATATATTTTAATTCTTGGGTAGAATAGTTTGTGGGTTGCGTGAAGGACCTGTCCAGTTGGGCCAGCGGGCCTGCTGCAGTATTCTCTTTCTT